TGAGGAGGAGGGACGTGGTCAGGCTGTCTGCCCTGGTCCCAGTGCGGGGGGGGGGGGCTGCCTGGCAGTCCTGTGCCTGAGCCAAGTGAGAGGGCATCAGAAGAGATGCCCAGGGGAGGCCTGGTCTGGAGATGGTGGGGCGGGGTCTAAGCAGGGGGCTTCCCCCCAGCCTGACTCTGGCCTTACCTGGGCTGAGAAGTGACCGTGGAAGGACCTGTACTGTTCTTTTCTGTCCTTTAGCTCGCAGCTGGCCTTTCCAGTCTCAGCTTGGCAGGGAACAGGCCCAGAACTGCCAGGGTCATGCCAGCGCCCCTCTAGCTGTCTGCAGCCTCAGGCGACCCCACAAGATAGAAAAGGGGGCTGGTGAAGGCCTCCCCATTCCTTGCTTTCATCCCCAGAAGAGAGGCCCAAAGACCCCAGGGAGAAGAAGCAGTTTCATGAAAATCAGAGGAAATAATTGCCCAAATTTTATAACATGCAAAATGAGTTTTCTGGAAACCCCTTGCGAGAAAGCTGGTTCAATTTTTTTTTTAGAGTAAAGTTTTATTAGTTTATATATAGAAAGGGGGAAAGGGAAAGAAAGAATACAAAGGTGTGTGTATGTGTATATATATGTGTGTGTGTATGTATGTATGTATGTATATGGAAGCTGCGGTGGCTCAAGTGGTTAAGACGCTGAACTGCTAGGCTGTGGAAGGTCGGTAGTTCAGCAGTTCGAGACCCGAGTGTGCCGCGTGATGGAGTGAGCTCCCGTCTCTAGTTCCAGCTCCTGCCAACCTAGCAGTTCGAAAGCAAGAAATTGCAAGTAGATAAATAGGTACCACTTCGGTGGGAAGGTCACAGCGTTCCGTGTGCCTTGGTGTTTAGTCATGCTGGCCACATGACCACGGAAATGTCTTCGGACAGCGCTGGCTCTTTGGCTTTGAAACGGAGATGAGCACCGCAACCCTAGAGTCGGATTCAACTGGCTTTCGAGCAAGGGAACCTTTACTTTACATTAACATACAGAGGATTTAGATCTACTCTGTGAGCTACTGGCATGAAAGTTGTGAGCGAGCGATTTGGCTCCTGCATAAATTAGTTTGCTCTGGAGCTGTCCTTTCTGAGCTAAGACAAAAATGTGTGAGCTGGAGGCTAAAAAACTGTGAGCTAGTTCACACTAACTCAGCTTAGGGGGAACACTGGTTGTGGGTGGGGAAATAAAAAACCAGGTTAGTAGTAATTAAATTTAGGGTTGCCAAATACCTTTTGTTCTGCGGCGGGGGGGGGCTCCCGGACAGCGTCTTGAGCACGCGCCGCATGCACACCAGCCGGATGTGACATGCTGATGCCGGGCACGCATAGAGTTTCCCCCTCAAATGGCTGTGGCCCCGCCCCCAGCGTGCCCGGCGTCAGCACATCACATCCGGCTGACGTGCACGCCGGGGGGGGGTTCCCCCAGGGCCCTATTCCGCAGCGGCGGAAATCGGGCCTCCAAAGCGGGGGGGGAAATCCACCCCCCGGGGGGACTTGGCAGCCCTATTTCAAGGACAGCTGTGCCAGAGCTTGTGACTGACCCAAGGTCACATCAGCAGGTGCAAGTGGAGGAGTGGGGGAATCAAACCCGGTCTCTTAATCATGAAAGATCTTCGTATCGGATGAATTTGGGATGACCCATGTAGATGCGTTAAGTGTTTTGAGTGCCAGCTTCCTCTCATATCCTTTGCCCTTAATAAAAAGTCAGCCCTTCTAAAAGAATGGTCTCACTACTTTGTGGGAAGAGGCTGCACCCATCTGCAATCTGCGCATAGAGAGGCTGAGGTCCCAAAAGGCCCGGAGTTGGGCGTACAGGTGTGCATGGCCACCGGGCCTGTAACCAGGATTTTTTCGTTCGTGGGGCATTTAAATTTTTAAAGGGGGCAGTGAGATTAAAGTTAATTGAATTACCTGGGTAGTGTCCTGCGGCAGCCATGGCGGTGCCGGGGCTGAAGTACCACGCCTGAGCCACTTCTTGCCCCACCACCAGCCCTTCCCTGGCAGGCAAGACTCTCCCAGCCTCTTGCTCTGGCTCCTAGCCAGCCGAACTTGACGTCAGCGCGGGTCTCATTCATTGAATCATAGTAAATAAAGTTTTAGAAGTAAGTAACGTAGAATCATAGAATGCTACGCGTTTGTATTAATGTTTATACAGCAATCTTGTTTATGTATACTTGACTTATCTTTTAATAAAATTAATTATTTTTTTAAAAAGAGTTGGAAGGGACCCTGCAGGTCATCTAGTCCAGCCCCCTGCACTCTGCAGGAGCATAGCCGGAAGATAGCCCTACAACATACCCGAAAGATGGTCACAAGCAGGGGTCATTTCGTAGAAAAAAAAGAGGTGCAGGAGCTCATTAGCATAACTCATTAGCATAACTTAATTGCATATGCCACACCCCCTGACATCACCAGAAGTGTGTCAGAAGGCAACACCCACCGCTCAGGCTCCACTGGACTGTTTTGGATTGCTAGCTATCGGGGGGGGACACGTGCAGATCTGTCCTTGCAGAGGAGGGAGAGCTTGTACCTGAATAAAACTTGATCTTAAAGGTGCCACTGGACTGTTTTGGACCGGGGGAGGGCTCTGCAACTTACCTGGCTGCTTCTTGCTCTGACTGAAGGCTGCTGGGAGCAGGGGGTGGGGCTTGTTGCATGTGCCCGCCCCCTGGGCTCTTTACTGCCGGAGCTCCACTCCTGTGCGCTCCTGCAGGAAATGACCCCTGGTCACAAGCTAAAAATGAGCCTGCAGTGCGATGTGACTGCGAAGAAAGCTAATGCAATCTTAGGATGCATTGCGGCTTGAGGTGGGGCCAAGAGGAGGCAGGCTGCCGCTCCAGAGGGGAGCACTCTGTGGCTGAGGGGGAGACCCAAGCAGCACAGAGACAGTTTAGGTCCTGGGTGGGCAGCCTTCCTAAGGTGACGGCACCAAGAGATGGCTTCTCCCCCTTCCAGTACCTGCAGAGAGAGAGAGAGAGAGAGAGTACGAGCAGCGTCAGTAGCCCCCCAGCTTCAGGGAGTTTGCTGTGCAGCTTGCAGCTCATCTGTTAGCCAAATTGCCGTATTTCTTAATAATAGCTTGGGGAATTATTAGTATTAAATGGCAATATGCATTAAATATAGGATCAGAACTATGGGAGTTTGATTTCCTAGTCCCCAGGAATAGACGCTGAGGCTAGATTACTAAAGCAATGATTTCTTTACTGAAGGATTCTTAAACATACAAACATAAAATCAAGCATTCACACACACAGTACAGAACTATGAAAGCAGAGGTGATTGATAGCAAATAGAGGGGTCAGTTATGGGGTGATACTGCCTGTCCAGACGTGCAGAGGTCCATGAAGAAGGGATTATGGCTTAAACCCAAAGGTTTAGGGGTGGACTGCCAGTTGGCATCAGGGCAGAGGCACACCCTCTGAGGCTCATGTGCTCTGACGGATATAGACATTGGAAAACAGTGTAGATCAATGGAACAATAGATTACCTGGGCCAACAATGCGTCCCAGAAGTGTGTGGCATCAGGATGGGCAAGGCCTAGATGTGACCAGTGAGCTCTCAGAGGGGCAGAGTCTGGTTGAACAATAGATGCCAGGTGTTGGATGACTGTCCTAGGGCTACCTGAATGGATTTTATGACCATTGATGGTTCTGCCAAGGCAGTTGAATAGGTTCCCAGATATAGACAAAAGATGGGAGATGGGTCCCTGATTAGCGTCAGGAAGGATCATTAATAATTTGAGTGTTTGATTGGTTTATCTTGGTATCCTGAGGGATGGAGGAAGGAAGGACAGGTATTGAGACAAAGAATTCACACAGAGACATGGGAACCACACAAAAGGGCTGGGTGAGGTTCTGGAGACAGGAGGGCTATTCGCCAGGTGGTGTCAGCAAGCTGCCATAAGGTGGTGTGTTTTTTCTCCATGTTACATTGTACTCTGTCCACCACCACCACCACCCCGGGATCCTCCTGTGTAGGTGTTTACTTTCTTTTGCTTGCTACATCTGCGGAACTGCTCAAGGTCAACCAGCTGGAGGTGGGATGGAGTTATGGCGTTGCTTTGCTTATTATGTATCTCATGCCTGAGAACTGAACTTGTGTTTATGTTGTAGAACCGTTGTGTTCCCAAGGAATTGGGCGCTAGTTTTATCTACATTCCCGCCAGCGGGAATTGGACTCATTGGTCTTAACCTGGTTCAAGTTCCTTTATTATGTTTCCCTTTGGGGTCTGTAGTCATTCCTAACAATTCTTGTGTTCCTGAGCTAACCATCGCTTTATAATAAATTTAACTTTGGTCTTCAAACGTGGATTTATTTCGAATGCATGGGGAATCGGACAGGTGGCCTCTGAATAGCCTTTAGGAATGTAGATGCTTTACCTGGTGGAACTGCCATTGTTTCATATGCATATCTTCCAGGGTGGGGGAGAAGACTGGAGGTTTGCTCTGCGGGTTGCCTTATTGCCACCTGAAAATGGAGACCCTGTATCCAGAGCTAGGCTCTCTGTTTTCAGAACCAGGAGTGTCTTCCTTGGGCTGCGTTTTGTGGGTCTTAGGTTTCAGGTTAGAAAGTGGGGTGCCCCTCCTATTGGGGCTACCCGAGAGTAAAAGGCAGTGCCTCTGGTAACCATTCATCAGCAGGGCATGTCAGTGTGGCGCAATTTTATTGGAAATGGAATGGATTTAAATGGAAAAATAAGGTTTTCTTGACTGAAAAGTTGTGGGGCATGGATTGTAAATCGGGGGACGTGGCCACAAGATGCCCCGCCGTGGCTACGGGCTAGATGGCCACATATCCATGCTCCTACAGAGTCTCAGGATGACAAAAGAGGCATGGGCCTTGAGCCCATACGGTGCTCCATCCCACCCTTATTACTTGCCTGTTGTGTGTTTCTGGAGGGACAGACAATCTGGCTCAAAAATGTTGAATTTATGGGCACACAGAAGAGGTCTAACTTTGTGGAGGTTTTCCCCCCTGACGAACAGGACCTCCAATTGCCAAGCCTGACCTCATATCCTGGCTGGAAGAAGAGGAAGAGGTGTTTCTCCCGGGCTCTGATGAGGAGGAGGGATTGGCAGGTAGGGGCTTCAGATCTCTGTCTTGGGACTGTGTGTTGCCTGCACCTTCCTTCCGAGGGCTGGTGAATTTCTGCGGCCTTGTTTATCCTCACAGTTTTGAGTTTTCCCTCGAAAGAGCTTGGATAAATTGCGGATGCTGAAATTGTGCTTTTAGATCTTCAACCCAGGACAAGAGGCAGTTTTCTTCTGCATACCGATCATGAGGGGGAGGGCAGGAAGGGTTGCATCTGTGTTTACTTCTTGTGGCCCTTCCTTACACTCCCAGGGAGGTGCTGATCACCACTTTGGGGTCAGGAAACACGTTTTCTCCAGGCCAGTTGGGCCAGGGATCCTGGAGGGTTTTTTTTTTTGCCATCTTCTGGGCATGGAATAGGGGTCATTGGGGGCGTGGGGGGGGAGGTATTTGTGCATTTTCTGCATTGTGCAGGGGGTTGGACTAGATGACCCTGGTGGTCCCTTCCAACTCTATGATTCTATAATTCTGGGACCTGAAATCTGGAGGCTCAGAAGCTCCTTCTGGGCCTGAGCTCAGTGTGGATCTTGAGGGGCTGTGATATCCTTAAATACTGGATATACTGAGGAAACAAGAGGAGGGTTGACTTAAGAACACCCAGGCTGAACAAGGCAAAAGTGTCATCAAAACGTCTCTTTAGTTGTCACCTAGATGCCTTAACCCCCCTCCTCCAACAATCGGTATCCCTTCCAAAAATCATGGAGGTACCCTTTGAATTGTGGGGTTTGCTTGGTGAGCGCCTGTCTTCTCCCTCCCATGCAGCAAATGTGCTTGGTGGGGAAAGGAGTTCTGCCCAAGGAAATGCGCACTCGTGAATGAGGAGTGCCCGATTGATGGCCTGGGTGGAAACTGGACCTCTTCCTTTATTCCAGCAACAGATGTAAAAGAGACATTTTGGGAACTTCCAAGGGCTCTCTTGGGAAGAAGTCAAGAATGAAGAGATGGAGCACACAGACAGGCGGGAAGCCACTTTTAATGTGTATACTATTGTACACTTCAGTGTACTGCCGGAACAAGCCCCTGAAATGCTTTGTGTTACAGGACAGCCTAGAAAAGCCCCCCTCCCCCCAATCCATATCTAAGGGAGAGGAATTCGCACAAGGATTTTGGCTAACAGAGCATACGGTCTTTGTTAATTATGATCATCCTAATATCTGCAAGAGCAGATCATGCAAGCATGCTGAACAGGATACAGGATCCTTCCTTTATACGATAAAGTAGGTAAAAGACCAGGGACTAGAATTTCAAAGAGAGTTCATCAATCCTGTTCCCAAACATAATTTACCCCATCCTCTGGAGCTGCAGTGGCTCAAGTGGTTAAGACGCTGAACTGCAGGCTTTGGAAGGTCGGTAGTTCAGCAGTTCGAGACCCGAATGGCCGCATGACGGAGTGAGCTCCCGTCTCTTGTCCCAGCTCCTGCCAACCTAGCAGTTCGAAAACAAGAAATTGCAAGTAGATAAATAGGTACCACTTCAGTGGGAAGGTAACAGCGTTCCCTGCGCCTTGGTGTTTAGTCATGCCGGCCACATGACCACGGAAATGTCTTCGGACAGCGCTGGCTCTTCGGCTTTGAAACGGAGATGAGCACCGCAACCCTAGAGTTGGATTCGACTGGCTTTCGAGCAAGGGAACCTTTACCTTTACCTGTTTACAATACATTCTACATTCCAAAAAGACAAACAAGCCATTAAACTCTTCTCTTAACTATACCGTGACACCAACCCTTGACTGAGATAATATTACTAAGGGAACAGAGGTCCAAAAAAAAAGATACACAGCAGGGGAAGTCAAGCAAGAAAACAGCATTTCTAAAATTTGGCAAACCAACATAGGGTTATAATAATAAGACATGTAAAATTCCTTAACTGCTCCCCCCTTGAGATCATAAAGCACAAAATGCACCCTTTTTGCTAAGGGTCTTCATGGCCAGGGTCCGACTTACCTGAGGGACCGCCTTTCCCCATATATACCCCCAAGAGCCCTTCGGTCAGGGACCCAACATCGCTTGGCGATTCCAGGCCCCCGGGAGGTAAAGCTTGCTGCGACCTGGGCTAGATCTTTCTCAGTGGCGGCCCCTACCTGGTGGAACGAGCTCCCGGAGGAGATCAGGGCCCTGTGGGACCTTATGCAGTTCCGCAGGGCCTGCAAGACGGAGCTCGTCCGCCAGGCTTTTGCATAGGGGCTGCCACTGCCACCACCACCAACGGTGGCAATACCATCGGGACTAGGAATCGCCCTGGAAGTTCCGCCACAAACCGCGTGGCATTGATAATGCGGGACTGGCTTTAACCATCTGCTGGACAGTGTCACCCCATTGGGGAGGATTTGTAGATGCCATCAAACCACTTAAGACCATCTGTTTACAAAAAGCACTTTATTATTGCTATTGTTGTTATTATCTATGATTTTATTGTTTTATCTGGTTTTATATATGGGCATATGCCCCTTGTAAGCTGCCCTGAGCCCGCTTGTGGGGAGGGCGGGGTATAAATGTTTGAATAAACAAACAAACAAACAAATAAATGTATATCTCATTTCTGAGGTGGTTGGGGTTTGTATGTAATCACCCTGGTTTCGGTTTCACAGAGCATAGGGGGGACAGCAAACAGGAAAACAACAGCAGGTGGGTGTAAAGTATTTGACTTGCCACTTCTGGTTATCTGGAATGGAAACTCATGTAGTCTGGAGGATTCTGGGATTCTTGTGCATCTTGCCTCCCAGTGCCACACTGGGGAGAGTCAGGCAGGAACACAGCATTTCTAAAAAATTGGCAAACCAGCATAGGCCCATAATGATAAGACATGGGAAATTCCTTAACACTTTCACTGTGGGGTGGAATTTCAATCAGACCTTCTTGTGTGGGTGCTAACAGGATCTCCCTCTTTATTCCAACAGAATACGATCAGAGGGATGGGGAGGATGAGGAACTGCATCATCTATGGCCAGATGAAGTCAAGAATGAGGATGTGAGAGGAAACTTCATGAATCAAGGCAGACCCAAGAGGCAGAAAGGCAGCCATCAACCCATTCCTTGCCAAGGGGAGGATTTCCGAGAAGTAACTCACATGGTGGAGGAACCATACAAGTGCTTGCAGTGCGGAATGAACTTCTCATATCAAACCCAATATAATATCCATTTGCGAAAGCACAGTGAAAAGAAGATCCACCAATGCTTGGAGTGTGAAAAGAGCTTCCTTTGTGAAGCAGAGCTAATTGGACATCTAAGAACACATGCAGGAGAGAAACATTATAGTTGCTCAGACTGTGGCGAGATAGTCTCACAGAAATCAGATCTTATTAAACACCAAAGGATTCACTCAGGAGAGAAGCCATTTATCTGTTCAGAGAGTAGAATGATATTCTCTGATGGAAGACAGGGAAATTTACATTTCCCAAGGAACATTACAGTGAAGGCATGTAAATGCTTTCGGTGTGAAAGGTACTTTAAAAACAGATCACAGCTTCTTGTGCATCAAAGAATCCACATAGGGGAGAAACCTTCTGAATGCTCAGAGCATGGAAAGGGGTTCATTGGGGCTGGCAGTCTTCAACAACATCACAGAACCCACACAGGTGGGAAACCTTTTGAATGCTCAGAGTGTGGAAAGACATTCAATCACAGATGTAGTCTTCAAAAGCATCTAAAAATCCACACAGGGGAGAAACCTTTTGAATGCTCAGAGTGTGGAAAGCAATTTTGTTATAGTAGCAGTTTTCAACGGCATCTAAGAACCCACACAAAGGAGAAACCGTTTGAATGCTCAGAGTGTGGAAAGACATTCAGTCAGCTTGGCAATCTTCAGCAACATCAAAGAACTCACACAGGGGAGAAAAGTTTTGAATGCTCAGAGTGTGGAAAGAGATTCAGGTTGAGTGCCCATCTTCAACTGCATCAAAGAACCCACACAGGAGAGAAACCTTTTGAATGCTCAGAGTGTGGAAGGAGATTCAGTCACAGATGTAGTCTTCAAAAGCACCTAAGAATCCACACAGGGGAGAAACCTTTTGAATGCTCAGAGTGTGGAAAGAAATTCAGGTTGAGTGACAGTCTTCAACAACATCAAAGAATCCACAGAGGTGAGAAACATTTTGAATGCTCTGAGTGTGGAAAGAAGTTCAGTCAAAGTGGCAATCTCCAACGTCATCAAAGAACCCACAGAGATGAGAAACATTTTGAATGTTCGGAGTGTGGAAAGAGATTCAATCACAGATGTAGTCTTCAGCAGCACCTAAGAATCCACACAGGGGAGAAACCTTTTGAATGCTCAGAGTGTGGAAAGAGATTCATTGAAGCTGGCAATCTTCAGCAGCATCTTAGAATGCACACAGGTGAGAAATCTTTTGAATGCTCAGAGTGTGGAAAGCGATTTTGTTACAGTAGCAGTTTTCAACGGCATCTAAGAACCCACACAAAGGAGAAACCGTTTGAATGCTCAGAATGTGGAAACAAATTCAGTCAGCTTGGCAATCTTCAAAAACATCGAAGAACCCACACAGGGGAGAAACCTTTTGTATGTTCAGAGTGTGGAAAGAGATTCATTGAAGCTGGCAATCTTCAGCAGCATCTTAGAATGCACACAGGTGAGAAATCTTTTGAATGCTCAGAGTGTGGAAAGAAATTCTGTCGGAATGACAGTCTTCAACTGCATTTAAGAACACACACAGAGGAGAAACTTTTGAATGCTCAAAGTCTGGAAACACCTTCAACTGGAGCATCACTTTTCAACAGCATCTAAGAACCCACACCAATGAAAAATCTTTCAAATGCACAGAGTGTGGAAAGATATCCGTTAAAAGGTGTGATCTTCAAAAGCATCTATAAACTCAGATGGTAGAACCCTGAACACTCAGAATGTGGGAAGAGATTTGGTTAGACTGAATATATTCAACAGCATCAAAGATCCCACACGAGGAGAAACCATACAACTGCTTAGCTTGTGAAAAGACCTTTTGTCTTACTTCACATGAAAAAGACAACCATAGAAAGGTTTGAAAGCATGTAAACTCTTGTAAAGTGCTTGTATCTACCCAGAATCCTTACCCTAACCTGGAAGAAATGATAGAAATATTCAAACAGAGGACAGAGTTCAAACAGATTTAAGAGGGGAGAAAGAAAGGATATGTTCTGAGAGTGAAGGAGATTCAAGAACAGGTAATTTCTCCTTGCCCATTGAGGAATACACACGGGGCCAAAAGTCATAAATACTCACTGTGTAGCAAGAGCTTGAGCTAGAGATCCATGTTTTCTGTTTCTCAGATAATCCATATGTCACGGCTCAGGTGGGGGTGTCACCTGACGCTGCCACCACTCTGGATTTAGGTTCCCTTGAGAAGGCCCAGAGCACCCTCCCAAGACCTTCAGACCTCCCTTTAGGCCGAATAACAGGCGTGAGGACCAGGCAGAGTAAAACAAGGAAAAGGTTTATTTTATAGGAGGTCAAACAACAAGGTGCAGAATAATAACAGTAAGTGGGTGAAAAGAAAAGAAATCAAATGCCCTAACGCGTCTAAATTTACTTTCCCTAGCTCACTATCTCAGGTGGCCTTACTCTACTCACCCTTCCCCCAGGATGAGGGTTTTTCCCCTGCAGCAGCCTTTCTTCTGGCTCTGCCCTCGGAAAGAAAGAACAGCTCTTCCTGCTGCTCCAGACTTTTATTCCAAGCCCTCCTCTTTTCCTATTGGTCCATTTTGGCTCCAAAACCTCCCAGGGGCTTCTGGGAGTTGTAGGCCCAGCCTCACCTACTGCTAACCAGGCTCCTTGGGCCTAGTAGGCCTCTGGTGGCACAGCCCAGATTAGGGCTGCCAAATCCCCCCGGGGGGCGGATTTCCCCCCGCTTTGGAGGCCCGATTTCTGCCGCCGCGGAATCGGGCCCCGGGGGAAACCCCACCCCGGCGTGCACGTCAGCCGGATGTGACGTGCTGACGCCGGGCACGCTGGGGGCGGGGCCACAGCCATTTGAGGGGAATGCATGCGCTGAGGACGCCGAGTGGGAGCCCCCCACTCCAAGGTAAAAACTATTTGGCAACCCTAGCCCAGATCATGACACCATATAAGGGTGAACCTTTCCCATAGAGGTTCTGATGAGGCTCTTTGAGTTCTCAGGTGTTGGAAGCTCAGAAATGCTCCAGAAGTAGTTATGCAAAGAAGGGCCTTTTTAGTGGTTGCCCTACTTCAGTCTATCTGCCAAGCTAAGTCCTTCTGACATCCTCAAAACTTGCAAAAAACATACCTATTTTCCAAATCCTGTGGTGAAATAGATTAGTCAAGGATAGCAGATGTCTGTGGATAGATTTCAAGGGGGTTTGTGAACTTAAATGGGGGACAAAATCATGATATTCACTAACCTGTTACTGAAATTCGACACTTCCTTCCATTCTGAATGTAGGCAACAAACTACAGTAGCATTGGCAGTACCTGTGACATAGTTATCAAGAAAAATTACCTGTATTTTATATCACATTACAGATGTTGCAGATATCTTGAAAAATCATTTATATTCATCGCCACTTAGGAATTAGGGTAGTTCCAAATCGGGACCTGCAAAAAAAGGTTGCAGGAGCAGCTATCCCATTCCACCCACCTCTGCTTCTTCCCCTCTCCCCCTACTTCTCTCATACTCTTTCTCCTCACTGCCACCCCTGTTCTAACTTTCTCTTCCCTCTATGGCTGTCACTTCATTTCTCCCCCACTCTTTCTGCCCGTGTCACTCAGGCTCTCACCTACTTCCCCCCCCCCCACAGCAGCAGTGGCAGCAGCCACTCTCCAGGAATCACAATGGATTGCCCAAATACAGAGATCAGTTCCTCTTAGGGTTGCCAACTCCATGTTGAGACATTCCTGGAGATTTGGGAGGATGAGGTTTGATCTTGGAAGTGAACTCAGCAGGGTATATAGCATAAACTCCACCCTTCAAAGCAGTCATTTTCTTCAGGGGAACCGATCTCTGTCATCTGGAGATCAGTTATAATTCCAGGAGATCTCCAGCCCTTGCCTGGAGGTTGGGAACATTAGTACCCCAGGAGGAAATGACTGCTTTGGAGGGTGGAGTCTATGGCATTATATCCATCTGAAGTCCCTCCCCACCTCAATCCCCATCATCCCTAGTCTCCACCCCATCCAGAAATTTCCCAACATGGTGTTGGCATCCATATCTCCTTCCCACCCAACATCCATCCTACCTTTATCTGCCCCTCGGCCTTTAACTTTCCATCTCCTTTCCCTCTGCAGCTTCTACTGAGGAAAACTATGGTCTTTCTTCACAGTGGGGACTAAAGCTGTTTACATTATTGTTTCCTCCTTTTTATCCATATAACAACCCTATGAGGTAGGTTAGGCTGGTCCAAAATCACCCAGTGAGCTTTCACAGCAACATGGGGATCTAAACCTGGGTCTTGCAAAGCCTGCTCTGAAGCTCTGACCATTATACTAAACTGACTTTCATAGGGTGGCTGCTGTTGAACAGTAGCAAGTAGCCAGGCCTAATTGAAGCATGCAAGTCAGGGGGTCTCAAGTCAGCCAGAGGGTGCTGCTAGGTCTGGGTTTGCCAGCCTCCAGGTGGGATCTGCAGTTCCCCCTGAATTACAACTGAACTCTAGACTACAGAGATCTGTCCCCCTGGAGAAAATGAGTGGACTCTGTGACATTATATTCAGCTGAGGCCTCTCCCCTCCTCAAACTGTACACCCCTCAGGCTTCACCACAGAATTTCCAGGAATTTCCCAACCTAGTCCCAAAACTGGCAATCCTAGTCGCAAAACTGGCAATCCTAGTCCCAAGGCTGGTTCACACCTCTGCTATTTAGCCATTCGTTCTGCAGGAGGAATCCTCCCCAATCCCAGATCCAGTTCTGCTTTTTGCTTCCTCCCCTCTTTCTGGCTATCAGCCAGTCTATCGGTGTGGTGGGGCCTGGAGTAGATCCCTGCGGCGGCCATTTCAAAAGGTATTGGGGGTGGTTCAGGCCTCCCCAAGGTTTTTCTTTTTGGATTTTTCTGCACTCCCGTGGAGTGCCCTGAGTCTGTAGAAAAATCTGTTGGGGGAGAGTATGCCCCCTATCTGTGGAAATAAGTATCTGCATGCAGAGGGGATTGTTGAGAATTAGATATATAGATTAGACTTGCCACTGGTTCGCACATGATCACGGTCTTCCTCTCTACAGATTCTTGTGTGACTTTGCTGGCCAACTATCGGGCAACTCTGCACTTAGTCATTAAGCAGGGGGTTGGAGTAGATGGCCTGTATGGCCCCTTCCAACTCTGTGATTCTATTATTCTAGTCATTGTTCAGCCATGAAACAGTGAAGTTGTGTGTTCTTACGTTGGTGACCCAGACATCTACGTTGATTTCTGGTGTTCCCTACCTACGTGGATCAATACATGGAAGGAAGTGAGTTGTTCTCATTCTTTGTTCAAATGAGAATTTTTAACTCCCTATAACTCCCTGTGCAGCCTTGTGGAGTTCAAACTGTTATTTAATGTGTTAATAAAGAAACACATACATTACTATATAATTTTTTTTGATAACTGTATTTCAGTGTAATTGGTTTCCTTTGTAATTCTGTGTATTTTATTTTATGCATTTAAAAACATTCTGAGGAGGGGTCCAGACTGCCAAAGCAGTCCAAGTTACAAAAAAGGTTAAGAACCCCTGTGAGAGAGGGAAGTCCCTGCCTTGGAAGGAGAAACGTTGGCAGGAAAACCAGGAAAGAAGAGGAGATTGGATTTATACCCTGCCTTTCACTCGGTGTCTCAGAGTGGCTTACAAACCCCCTATCGCTTCCCCTCTACACAACAGACACCCTGTGAGCAAAGTTCCCTGTAAGCTGTGGAGTCTTGTGAGCAAAAATTCTACTTCGTGAGCTACTGGCATTGAAGTTGCGAGTAAGCAATTCGGCTACTGTATAAATTAGTTTGCTCTGGAGCCCTCCTTCCTGAGCAAAGACAAAAATGTGTGAGCCGGAGGCTAAAAAACTGTGAGCTAGCTCACACTAACTCAGCTTAGAGGGAACAGTGCCTGTGAGGTAGGTGGGGCTGTTCTTAAAAGAGAGCTCTTTCAAGAACAGCTCAGACAGAACAATGGCTTGCCCAAGGTCATCCAGCAGCTGCAAGTGGAGGAGTGGAGGTCAAGCAGGATCTCCACTTATGTGTACTGAGATTTCTCCCTCAGTAGAAGTCTCACAGTGAATCTGGCCATGATAAATGAAATGATTTTTATTGCGGAGAATGAAAGAATAAAATCAAACTTATTAATTGAAGAGTACTCTATAAACATGCATGCAAGTTCAGAAAATATAGGGGTAGCTTATAGAGACAGAGAAGGAAACTTATTCCTATGGGACTGTTTTATATTATTTATTTATCAGATTTATACCCCGCCCTCCCAGCCGAAGCTGGCACGGGGCAGCTTACATAAAAGAATAAAAACACACAAGCAATTTAAACAATCCTAAAACCATATAAACTCCTGCCAACCTAGCAGTTCGAAAGCAAGAAATTGCAAGTAGATAAATAGGTACCACTTCGGTGGGAAGGTAACAGCGTTCCGTGTGCCTCGGCGTTTAGTCATGCCAGCCACATGACCACGGAAACGTCTTCGGACAGCGCTGGCTCTTCGGCTTTGAAACAGAGATGAGCATCGCAACCCTAGAGTCGGACTCGACTGGCTTTCGAGCAAGGGAACCTTTACCTTTACCTAAAACCATATAAAACAATCCCAACATTATAAGGTGCTAAACATGAAGTAATACTGATAAACACTATTTACCTATCCCAGTGATGGCGAACCTTTTAGAGACCGAGTGCCCAAACTGCGACCCAAAACCCACTTATTTATCGCGAAGTGCCAACACGGCAATTTAACCTGAATACTGAGGTTTTACTTTAGAAAAAACAACTCATACGTTAACTTTAGATGATCCAAAGTAAGGAAAGCAATCCCAAATGCTTTCATTGACTTAAAATTATTTGGCAGAGAATTCAACACTTTAATGATGGTTTGGGCCTGGCTGGGGCGATGGTACGCGTGCCCACAGAGAAGGCTCTGAGTGCCACCTCTGGCACCCGTGCCATAGGTTCGCCACCACTGACCTATCCAAAGAATTGGAGATCTGAAGGACGAGCGAGATGAAGCAGCATCTCACTCAAGGAAGTGTGCCCAACCTAACATTGGGGGTGTAAGTTAGTGGATGTCCAAACACACACACTCTACTTAAGAGCATTGTTAAATATACCCCTTGGAACATGACGTGATTGTTTTTAGAACAATGCTGTGATAGCTATTGTGAAACTATGTCTGAGCAAGGAAGCTTCCTAACATTCCCAGGAATTGCGAATGCAATGTAACATTCATGTGAAAATGTCTATTGTGTTTGGTGACCTCTAATTGCCAGGACGAGAAAACGATTATAAGGAATGTTACGGGATTCAAATGATTTCTGCTAGGTATTCACTTAGGATAACCAGGTAAAGAAGGGTCAGGCGAGGTAGGGTTAGTTTTGCTGCCTTTTCTGAGAAGTCAGTCTTTGACACCGGTGGATTTAAAGAGGGAAGGGAGCTGCCAGAAACCAGACCCTTCCACAATGCACCTTTGGGACCAGTTTCCCCGACAAGCCTCTGGTCAATATTTGATGGCATACATTCCATGTGACTGACTGAGGGGCCTATTTTGACCATATCGGCAGACCAGGGAAGAGTCTTGAGTGAGTGACCCTGTGAGATGCTGAGAAAGAAGGTTGCCTGTGTCACCTTTCCCTAGGTTGACAAAGAGGAAACGGGGGGCAGCAGTATGACTAGAATACAAAATACACAAATACTGCAAAAAGTGCACGTAATTGACACAATAGTAAGAATCAGTTGACTCTTGTTAGAAACTTCAAGCTGTTTTAATCTTTCTGTTTCTCAATACAGGACGCCATCAACATTTCAGAGACGACGTCAAGTCATCGGAGACACAGACGAACTTCCCCGGAGTTTTACCGCTCGTTTCGATACATCCTTTCTCAACGCAACGGTTCACTTCTGCGCCCTTGCAAAACCTGATATCGGACTGTCTTTGGTTCCACACTGCTTCAAGAGCTCTTAACAAAAGATACTTCAACAAACGGACAGCAAGACTTTTGTTAAGAGCTCTTGAAGCAGTGTGGAACCGAAGACAGTCCGATATCAGGTTTTGCAAGGGCGCAGAAGTGAACCGTTGCGTTGAGAAAGAATGTATCGAAATGAGCGGTAAAACTCCGGGGAAGTTCGTCTGTGTCTCCGATGACTTGACGTCGTCTCTGAAATGTTGATGGCGTCCTGTATTGAGAAACAGAAAGATTAAAACAGCTTGAAGTTTCTAACAAGAGTCAACTGATTCTTACTATTGTGTCAATTACGTGCACTTTTTGCAGTATTTGTGTATTTTGTACCTTTCCCTAGGTACCAGACTCGTCCTTCCAAGGGAGGAGGAGTCCAGGCATAACACAAGGCAGAGAGGCACAGGGTTATGGTGGTTTAAAGTATGGCTCACAGAGCTATGCCAACCTCCCAGTGGGGCCTGGGGATCTCCCAGAATTAGAATTGATCTCCAGGTGACAGAGTTTCTCCTGCAGAAAAGGGCTGCTTTGCAGGGTGGATTCCATAGAATCAGAATGTTCGAGTTGGAAGGGACCTTGCGGGTCATCTAGTCCAACCCCCTGCACTCTGCAGGAGCATGGCCGAAAGAGAGCCCTACATACCTACATTCCGTGGTATTATATCCCACTGTGGTTCCACTCCTCCCCAAACCCCTTCAATGAGCCCGCCACGGCGGAGAGGGCGGGATATAAATGTAATAATAATAATTCATCTCCCAAATCGGGAGTTGGTAACCTTAGGTGGCTGGCCAAAGACGTTGCAAATAAGAGGGGGGGGGGGTTTAAAGAAAATGCATTTGGGGGTAAAGGTGCCAGGTACCTTCTGACAACGCGTGGAGAAACGGGGGGAGGGACTTACCAGTAGAAAGAAGGCCTAAGCCACATTATCAGCGTTGCACAGGAAGGGATGTCATCATGCCAGTAACCTCTGAGTCTGGCAATGGTCTTCAGGGGTGAGGTGTTATATGTAGCTTTGCTGGGTCCTTGGGAGGCAAAGCTGCCATTTCCCAAGCTGCCAGTCCTCAATGAGTCCATTTGCTAGAAGGAACTGCCCCTTGGTGAATCCTCCGTGTGGGAGAGACTGATCCTAAAATGCATTCTGTTTTCTCTTCACACACACACACCCCGTTCCCATGATGCCACAAGGACTGTCCTGTTGCTTTGAAAGTGGGTTTCATTTATTTAGTTAGTACTTTTAAAATCTCATCTTTCCTCCAAAGAGCTGGGGGGGGGGGGGTTGTTCTTTTCTTTTTTGTAAAATGTAAACTTTCTTAATGTATTGAAGATATAGCAGTATGATATGAACATTGTTAGAATGTGAACATGAAAGTGTATGAGTAAATACAGAGCAAATACAATTTCGTGTAAGGTAAAGGTAAATGTTCCCTTGCTCGAAAGCCAGTCGAATCCGACTCTAGGGTTGCGGTGCTCATCTCCGTTTCAAGGCCGAAAAGCCAGCGCTGTCCGAAGATGTTTCCGGGCACATATACACTATCTTAAAGGAGACATTTGTAGGATATTTAGGAAGCATAATACAGCATATCAATGAAAGGTTATATTTGAAGAAGAGAAGAGACTGGATTTATACTCTGCCCTTCAGTACCCAAGGGAGTCTCAGAGCGGCTTACAAACTCCTTTCCCTTCCCCTACACACAACAGACACCCTGCGAGGTAGGTGGGGCTGAGAGAGCTCTGACAGAAACTGCTCTTTTTCAAGAGCAGCTGTGCCAGAACTATGGCTTGCCCAAGGTCATCCAGCAGGTGCAAGTGGAGGAATCAAACCTGGTTCTTCCAGATTAGAGTCCACACACTTAACCACTACACCAGACTGGCTCCAACAGTGTATAAGAGCTTACTTTTAAAAAAAGTTTAATTGGAGTTTGGAGTAAATAAATAAAATGAGTGTGATCCATATACATATAAACATATAAAGCAGAACAGATAATTACCAAGAAATTGTAAGAAGGATTGCAATGATGTTTTGGATTACAAAGAGTAAGTAAGAATAATTCTGAGGATTTGACAATTTTTTGGTCCAGCAAGGAAGGTGAGGAGGGAGACGATATTCGTTGTGGGGCACTGTTCAGGGAAAGTGTGAAGTCATTACACCTATTTGTGTATTTGAGACCAGTCAGAGGAAATAAATTGGTTTCGAGATAGAAAGTCCAAAATTTGAAGGGCTATCTTTCGGCCATGCTCCTGCAGAGTGCTGGGGGTTGGACTAGATGACCTGCAAGGCCCCTTCCAACTCTAACATTCTATGATTCTATGAAAATCGGAAAGCATTTGTCATCGAAGTTGGAGTGTTTAGGACTATGTAGAGTACTATTTATTCTGTTAGTGACATAGTCCATGAGGTAAATATCCTACAGCTTGCGGAAACAGACATTTATAGTGGGCAGTTTGTCATCTTTCCCATAAGAGTAGCAGACAAGACAGGGATCCCTGGCGGTAATAGTAGAAAACAGCATAAAAACGCCAAGGGAAGACCATCAAAGATTAAATGCACTTGAAGTACCTGAGTACAGGATATATTAAGTAAGTGTTTAAATTACAAATAAATGTCTATAATGAGTTGGTGGTCCACAACCCCAAAACAAATACAATGTCCCCAAATATAGTCATACGTGCTCTTGGCATATCATACTCCAACACTGAGATACAGACAGGGCTATTTTTGGGCAGGAACGCACAGGAACGGAGTTCCGGCTGGCTCCCAAGTTGGCCACGCCCAGCAGGAACTCATTAGTATAACAGGCCACACCCAACAGCAGAAACTCATTGGGATTGGCTACAATTAGGGGTGTGTGGCCTAACATGCAAAGGAGTTCCTGCTCCAAAAAAAAGCCCTGGGTTTTGTCAACAAACAAGGTAAAGAGAATAAGAAGCAAAATGTGGGTGTGGCTGGATGACCACACTTCTGGTAACAGGGGTGTGTGGCCTAATATGCGAATGAGCTGTGCTGTCAGGGGTGTGGACTAATATGCTAATGAGTTCCTGCTTTTGGGTATGGCCTATTATGCTAATGAGTTCCTGCTGGGCTTTTTCTACAAAAAAGGCCCTGGAGATAAACATAACAGTAATTGCACTCATAGGCACTAATAACAAGGTATGCCCATAAATCCAACTGGTCGATTCTCCTTGCTTAAATGCAATAAAAGTGTCTGAAGACCCCCTGCAGTCATAAATCAAGCAGAGGACGACCAGTGAAAAATCTATAGCTTCCTAGGTATGTAGATGTTTCAATTTCTCTTCTTCTGGATAAGTGGCTGAATAATGGAACCCAAGTTCAAAGAGAATTATATAGACTACCAGTTCTTTTAGCTATATTGAATCCCAGGGTTTCAGTATTGTGCTTCCCATTTTGATGGGGTTCCAGAGCTTTGGGGTTATACTGGATCCAGCATTGTTGCTGGAGAGCTTAATGCCACTGCAGAAAAATACTTTCTTCCAAGTTTCTTCCAATTCAGTCTAGTCTACTGTCAGGACGCACAGCCAAACAACGAAGTACACGCTTCTAGGAAGGTTTTACTTTTATTGAAAAGCCATAGATGCAATAACATGAACACAGGAATGGCGGGCTACCTGTGCGCATAATAAGATATAGGGCATTCCTATGCGCCCCCCCAGCAATACCCAATTAGGTGGGCTCCTGCGCGCAGGAGACCGTAAGACTCTCTAACGGTTGCAAAGCTGGGAACGGAGACACTCCCACGGACGATAGACACCACAATCTCCTCCAGTAAAACTTTACAGATAAGCGTTGTGGCTTTGAAGCAATTAAGCGCATGGGAAGGGATGCAAAGCAATTAGAAAACATCTCCACACTCATAGCCCCCTACCTTGACTGCACTTATCTGGCTACCTGGATCCATGCCATGGTTACTCTGCTTTCATGGAAGTTTGGAGAAGGTGAGTGATTTGTAATTTGGGGGAAAGTTTCTTAAAGGCCTGCCATAGAGCCTTTGGAGACTGGGCTACGGCAGGGGAGATGCATCTCACAATGCTGGCCTGGAGGTGGCAGCAGAGAGTCAGCCCCCAGATGTGCTGGGAAAGGTTGGTCTCAAACTGAAGAAGGGGACTGAAGAAGTTTGCAGATGACACAAAATTATTCAGGCTGGTGAAACCCAAGGGTGACGATGAAGACCTCCAGGAGAGTCTCCACAAACTGGGTTAGTGGGCAACAAATTTGGGGGACATACCAATGGCCAGGGCTGTTTTTAGGCAGGAACGCACAGGAACGGAGTTCCGGCTGGCTCCCGAGTTGGCCACGCCCAGCAGGAACTCATTAGCATAATAGGCCACACCCAACAGCAGACACTCATTAGGATTGGCTACATTAGGGGTGTGTGGCCTAACATGCAAAGAAGTTCCTGCTACAAAAAAATCCCAGGGTTTTGACAACAAAGTAAGCAGAATAAGAAGCAAAAGGTGGGTGTGGCTGGATGGCCACACTTCTGGTAACATACGGGGTGTGGCCTAATATGCTAATGAGCTGTGCTGTCAGGGAGTGTGGTCTAATATGCTAATGGAGTTCTGCTGTTGGGTGTGGCCTATTATGCTAATGAGTTCCTGCTGGGCTTTTTCTTCCAAAAAAAGCCCTGCCAATGCCTGTTTTCAGTTTTGGGGGATAATCTAAGGAAGAGGAACCCTGCCCTTGCTGATTCTACTTCAAGACTGGTTTCAGGCAGGGCTTTGTGTGTGTGTGTGTGTGTGTGTGTGTGGCAGCACTCAGGGGTCCTGAGCACCAGCACCATTCAGCCCAGTCCTGGGAGGGAAACTGGTGGCAAGCCCTGGCTCTGCTTGGCATGTAGAAGAACCCAGGCTCAGTCCTCGGCATCTCCAGTGGAAAGGGCCGGGCCGTGGGAGATGTGAAAGACCTTGGCCTGAGGCCCTGGAGAGACGCTGCCAGTCTGAGTAGGCAATACCGACCTTGATGACG